GTCATTTGTCTCATGCTCATTTAAATATTTATATCAAAAGCATCTCCTATACCTGTAACAGAGATGTAAGATAGGTAATTCCAAAACTGAAAATTATGAAACAAACAACGTGGACAAAACATAATTTGGTTTGGTTCTGTTTAAGAGACGCACAAACATGAGAATAAATGGTTTATAACACAAGATTATTATGTTCTACTAGGTGAGACCCCGCTGTATGCGCGGGTTCTGTTTCATTAAAATTATTTTCCATTCTTTATATTTTTTTGGTTTTCAAATTTCTCTAAATGATATACAATATAGAATTAATGAAACAAGGATTGTTATTTTTGAAATAGTACAACGTTAAACTAATATATAATAGAATATTTTCATATTTTCTAGATTAGTGATTCGATTGTAGAGTGTAATTCAATTGAATTGAATATGATTTATTACTCTCTTTTCTCTCTTGTGAAGATGGTAACATATGTATCTCATAAGTAGGAGATTAAAAGAAAATGTGAAGGTTAAGACAATGTATAACATAATGGGAGAGATGTGTAATCTCAAACATACATTTTTTATAGTACATTTGAAAAAAAANAAATTCAAAAAAACTCTTTTTAAAAACCAAATATACTTCATTCATTGATAAATATCAAAATATTATTTACTTTATATGTTTTCTATATTTTTAATAAAAAAAAATATACTATTCTATCCGATTATGTCTTGTATTGGCTTCATAAACAACTCTAGAATATGATGTACAATATTTTTCAATGACATATTCATTTGAGAGTATGATGTACAAATTTTATCAATGATCTTATTCATTTGAGACGAACCTTTCTAAATTTGATATTAATTATTTAATTTCAAAACTGTGTTGTGGTTTGTGGACCCGTGGTTATCATATGCACCACATCTTTTCCTTTTCTTCAATGAATACAACTCTAACTCTTCTAGCTCGTTTTCCATGGTTCATATTCATTTATTTTATGCTTAATACTGATCAATCTTTTATCAAATTTTTTTTTTGATTAATCATACTTTCGTCATCGCCATTGACTAATAAGCATATCTCAGAGTTTTTGCCAAGTCTTATCTCATCTTTTACCTTTAATTTCTGATATATATGTTTTTCTTGTTACCTTCTTTTGTCATTATTGTTATCACCACTAACTACCAAATCTTAAACACAACTTATGACTTATATAAGTCCGAATTTGTTTTTTTTTTTCTGCAAAAATGGTTTAAATCATTTCTATTCCAATGATCTCATTCCTCTTCCCACATATCCATTTTTCCTTATCCTTTTTGTGCGGATTTTAATTTCCCTTGTACTAATTAATGTAAAGAAAGGTGAAAGAAAATCTGTCAACAATATATTATAAATTATTAAGCCAAAATCTCTCAAAAATACTTTTCTTCCGAATTTGTAACTCATATTCTAGAACCATATATTGTGTCATAGTGTGATTCAAATTCAGGACATGGTGATTTAGAAGGAACAATAAAAAAAACAAACAAATAGATTGAAATCTTCTTGGATCCTCTAAATTTTCTAGATTTTTTGGTCCATCGATTATGATACAATTGATATGAAGCATAATTGGGATTCAAACGTAGGTATGCTACTAAAATGAATAGGTAACAAAATAGATATTCCTAAAATAAATTTGAGATTACAAAAAATTGAATAACATCAAATTAAGATGAATATTGTGGAGATCGGAGACTTTGCACCTTTAACAGGGTCGTGTGAGAGAACCCATAAATTTGTGATTTGCACCCGGATAATTTTTCATAAATTTGTGATTTAAAAAGACAAGTAGGCGACTTCTATCTTATGATCAGAGATCTTTTATTCACCTTAAATAAATTCTAATGTAGAAAATGATGAAATATCCTATATAACACTTTGGAACCTTAATAATTTTGCATTCATTAATTCTTAGAAATACAGATTTCCAAGAAATTGTACAGACGATGGTTAATTAGAGGTTTTGAAGATTTTTAAATCATTTTAAAATCTAAGTGTCAAAAAAATAGATGCCTATGTGTCAACTTCTTGTTAGTGAAACTCAACAATTATATATAGGATTATCCGGAGCACAAAGAAAAAAATAACAACATAGCAACGTTTGAGAATACAAAGTGATAGCCAAAAAAGCAGAGCAAACGAAAATAATAGAAATCAAAGGCATACAAGAGACGAACTACAATTAGAGGAGGTGAAGCGTTCATCAAACCCAAAGAAAATTGAAAAGATTCTAAAACAAATTATTAAAAACCTATTTTAATTACAAATCCTGAATGAATTTTAATGGGTTTTATAAATTTTAGGCCCAATTGTCAGTTGTTCCTA